CTGATAGGGCAGCAGATCTGCTGTTTGCATTTCTGCTTCCGCAAGGCACCTCCTGTTTTGAAAAAATGCCCTTGTAATGGACTTTGGCCCTAACCCCTGCTAACTTCTTGTCTATTCTGCTTTGTGAGTACGCAACGTCGTATGCTGAGGATCCCCAGCGAGCTGAGAGGTACGTTGGTCTCCACCAAGGGGGGAGGGGTTCGTACTGGGACGGTGGGGAGAAAAGAGATCGTGTCTGAACTGGGAAGAAATTTAATTTCCCCCGTTTTCTGCGTACTTATTACCTCCGCCCTGCACTCCACGCCAGCTTGTCTGGGTGAAGTGGCAGAAGCTCGGCAACTTTTTTGAAAAATTGCTAGGGTTCTGGAAGAATTCTGTAGGGGGTGCGAAGTTTGTGAGGATTCCATACTGGAACAGGAAATTCTGGAGGGGGTCGTACTAACACGTCGTATTACCCATGCCGATGCTGTACTTTACTTGAGAACAGGGCACGTTGTACGTTTGGGATCTCCCGCGAGGGGGTCGTATTTGGCCGCCGAAGGGGGGAGGGTGGTAATTGCCTTCGATAAAAATGTTTCCAGTGGTTACTTTTTTGAGCTTTACCTGTTTCAAGTGTGCTTCACACTCCCCACCCCCCTCTCCCCTGGCCGACGGCAGATTTTTGGGGAAAACTGGAGAAAGCCCATTGTGGCTCACGTGGGGGGGGGGGTGGGCATGTTGTACTTTTACCATCTATCATTGTGGTGTCAAGCTATGAAAAGAAACTTGTGAAATCTGTGAAGTTTATGAAGTGGTATCTCAAAGTTTGCAGGTAGAAGCTTATTTGATACACTACACTGTGTGAGAGAGAGGTGACGACGTAAACTCTTGTAAAGCAAAGAGTACGACAAAGGAAAGTAGCGAAACTGCAAAAAGCCCGTCCTTCCCCACCCTCGTAAGCCGAACTGCTCCCTGGGGGGTTTTTGGAGGTATGGTGCGTAGGTTAGTGGACGGGAAAGGGCGAGGGGAACGGTCGTTTCATATGAGGGATTCAAGGGGATCGTATTTTGCAAACATTTTCCTCGACGATAGGACGTGCCCTATTCTAGGAAGGTCCTGTTAGCCCTGAATATCACTCACAGATATGTACAGAGCCGTTCGCCCTTTTATATTTGCACTGCTCCCGGGGACACGAAGAGCGAGCCAAATCGTGTGAGCTTCTCGGGGCACTTTAAGAGCATGGGAACCCAGAGCTCCAGTGATGATTGGGAGGTTGGAGACGAAAGACTCATCGGATCACCCGGGATGCGCCGTGCAGGCATTGTTCGGCTTGGAGGAGCACTTTGCGCATTCGCTAATTTGTCTTGTTGATTCATGTGAAATAACTGGTAAACTCCTCGAAATGGTCCGTCAGCCATTTCGCAGATTAAACTTTGGTGAGAGGACTCCCCAGGTCTTCACAAAGTTGCCTGCATAAGCTGAGCTGAATAACATTTAGTGCCCTCACAAAGCCGAACTGTACCCGACATGCATCCGACTTCCACTAGAAATCGTAGCTGTACCTGTGTGGGTAGCTGGGCTATGTCAGGGATTGCTTTAAGCTGATGATGCTGTCAGTTGGCTTATTTAATCTTCCTTGAATTTTGTACTAACCGGACCCTGAAGGCGTGTATTGTATGGGTTCGACTCGGTTTCGTGGTTCATAGTGGCAAGGGTCCTCCTATCCACCTTACCATCTATATAGAACTTGCTAGTTTTATTATTTATTACTAATTTGGTCTTGTTTATCCTTCCAGAGTAATCGGATAGCAATTTACCGTCTTGGAGGGTAGAAGTTATGGTTGGCTTGGAAGTCCGGGACGTGACCCCTGGACGTGTTTTCTTGCGGGGGTAGTATAGTGGCAACTTACCACGCTCACGGTCTGAAGTTCATATCTCATCGGTTCGGATCAGTCAGGCCTTTTCTACCTTCGGGTTGTGTTCACTGGCAACATTTTCGGGCGGTTGGGGGGGGGGAAATACATTCTTGGGCATCAGCTGCGATGCAGGGTGAGCTTCATGTAGGTGAAGTTGCAATGTCACTGCGATTCTGATTGGAAGAATATTCCGTGGCGCATCCCAAATATTATCGATCAACGCCAAAAAAGATAAAGTTTCTTAGCTTCATTATTTTTATAATTATTATTATTATTTATTATGTATTGTTATATGTTTTCGTGGTGAGTTCATCATTACTTAGCCTGAGTGATTGGTTTTGTTTTATTGTTCTGTCATGCACACCAAGTGCATTTATCAGTGTAACGTGTTTAATGGATCTCTGGCCCCAGCAATCAATCTACAAACTAACTGCAGTTTTTGATGTGGGAACAAAAAAAACTGGTTGGGAAATTTCTAATGGGATTTCGGAAATGGCAAGCATCTTTTTATGCTAGAAATTAGCGCTAAAAGGAGCCACGGGATGGCGCAGCTAGGGAGGGGGGGCATTTCGCACTTTCGCTAATCCCCATTGACGTGTTGAGCGCCAACAAGTGTAGACCTGTGAAATCTAGTGAAGCCACAAAGTGATACCAATTAAAGTTTATAGAGACCGCTTGTCAAATTTTGTGAAGCAGTGGCGTCGATGGGAAATAACGAAAGTGCAAAATGCCCTACCCCCCCCAAGCCGTACTGCGCCCACGGACGTTTACTGCTGGTGAGAACAGCGCTGATTTCAGCTCTGTTGACTGTTCGTTCGCTGAGGCCTGTTTTCGTGTTCATACATTGATTTTTCTGGAACTAATAGAACCAGAGGGGCATATCACTTA